TTCTTTTTTTCTGTCTTTTACAGAACTCTGTGAATATCATTAAATGTCTGGAAGCAAGCTAGGCAGGTAATTTATGTGCTTAGGTAACTATAGAAACAATTCTTGCTACTGTATTATTACAAAATATCATCTCAATTCTGATTGGCCAGTCAGCACTCATCAAATGGATCATGTCACATTCCATGTAGAAATATGATAAATAGTTTGAGAAAGACAAATTGTCCTGTTAGGATTTGAACTGGGGATGCTTTGGTTACTGCTTGCTAGCTACCATTCAGCTACATTGCATAATACATAATTGGAAACAATCACAAACTTGTTATGGGTGGTATACAAAGATTAAAAATAGATTGCATATATATTAAGAGAGCAAGCCCGTAGCCAGGATTTTGGTAGGGGGTTTTTTTTTTATACTGAAAGGGCACTTGCGAGCACCATTGGCTGGGGCCAGGGGGGCTGCCAAGGGCCCCCGGGGGTCCATGGCCAAAATCCCGGTGGGGATCCAGCATTCTAAGCATTTACAGGTGTTATTTAATTGATTTACTTTTAAAAAATGTATATATAAAAGAGGTAATTTTTCGAGTTGGGAAAAGATAAAAAAAAACAAAAAAACTACTACCTTAGTACTACAGTATTGGTAATTTAACAACAGTAGCATGATACAAACTCCAAAGAATCCAGTATGGTTTATTCTTTATTTTTTATTTATATAGCACTTTGGAAGTTGTATCATACTATACTGTACTCACTTAAGACAATCAATAACAAAAAGAACCGAGACAAATTTGTATGGTTGGTTGTAGCGTATTATAATCATATATATATATATATATATATACACAGGTGAAACTATCCACCCCCCGGACACCATTCCGGTATGTCTGAGTCAAGGTTTCGGGGCCTGAATTTTTTATGTTACTAGGTAGGCCTAACAATCAGGTATTAAAATAGGACTTTTAATGATGATAGGCTCTAGGCTAGGCCTAAAGTGTAGGCTTGCCAGCCTTTGTTGAAAGGGCACTTCATGAAAAGGGGGTTCGTTCGAACCCAACAAACCCCCCTGGCTACGGGCTTGGAGAGTTCCACTTAGAAAAAGAGATTTCAAAATAGCTTCCTTGTGTGTACATTAGAAATGACGCACAATTTCAAATTTTCATTTTAATGTAAAATTAATGGCATCCTGATCACAGAATTGTAAGGCTATATAGAGTTATAGAGTTATTCTTTGTTATTATAGAGTATAGGCAAGTGGTGTATCTATAAGTCGTGAATTTGGGAGGAGAGAGGCTGATGTGCGGGCGAAGGTGAAGTGGAGGCTAAGTGAGGAGGTACTACCTCACAAAATAAGGTGATTTTTTATCTATTTAAGAATTGATTTTTGCATTCCACCCACTCCCCCCCCCCCCCCCCCCCCCCCCCCCCCCTCCACTGGTCACTGGATCTTGTACTGTAAATGGTAAACAGGCATGGGATTCCTTTACCCCTGGCAAAATCCATTCAGCACCAAAGATGGTAATTACTTACTCCTTCTTACCCGGGAAATTACCCACACATTGCTGAGCATGTTTTTTGAAGAAAATATCTTACTACGCTCACAAGTTTAGACTATGAAGTATGCCAGTTTCTATGCACTTTTGACGTGTATGTTTTGGCCATCACAAAGTTTGACAGCATAGTAATAATATCCACCTCAGTTGAGGTTATGTGAAAACCTCTACCCAATGTCCCTAATGCATGAAGTTAAGCCTTATATAATTTTTGTTTTCAGTAGGCTCTTTGCTATAGCACTTTGTTGAGGTTAATATGCATGTCTTTTTTAAATACCAGTATGTTACATAGAATTTTTATTCTAAATTTCGAAATAAACTTTGTTTACAAGGAAATTGGTACAAAAAATATATTATAGTTAATTAAATATTTTCATTCTTGGTAAGATTAGATATTTGCATTTATAGACCCACTAAAAATGGCAGGTGTGCACAATCATTTAAAATAATAGTGTGTAAGCATAGGATATAAATAACTGCATCCTAAAAAATAATACTTCAATCTGTATGCAAAATAACATTTTAAAAGTATGGCACAAGCCTAGTCTACTACCATACTGTACAGTACTCTGAATGTGTGGATCACACCTTAAAATCTACAGTAGCTCAAATTTGCACAGACATGCGCAAGGAAAATAGGTGCGAAGAATTGTAAATTTCTGTATAATACATGGTTATATATTAAGATTAGGTCAAAGCAAAATCTGTGCTGAAATCAGCCCTTATTTTTAGAAATGCGCAGGCGGATTTCTAGACTTAATTAATTTTTGCTCAAAACCAGAGTACTGTCACTAAGTGTTAAACTGAATAATATAATATCATGCAGACTTGAAAAAGACTAAGAAGTCATGATATAATATTTCGTTCTTTATTCAAACATCATCTGATGTGTTCGAATAAAGAACAAAATATTGAATCATGGCTTCTCTTAGTCTTTTTGGAGTCAGGATGATATTATATTATCTAAACATATTCAGTGGACCACTTGGTTTAAACTGAGTAATTAGCATAAGTATGTGGCATTTTACTCATAATTTTGGCAACAGTATAAAGTCGAATATGAATATTAAAAAGTAAATTTTCTTGATTTGGTCACTGCTGGTTTTGTCATGGGAAGCTCCCACATTCCCTGTTCCAAGTGAGTTTTAAAAATCCAGCAAGAATTCTTGTCAATTTAATTGGGACCACACCAACTGACTTTTTTGTACACATGGTTTAAAACAACATTAAAAATGCTCATATTATCAGAGCACCTAGGGGCTTCACCCCCCTGGACACCCACCGGGCCTCAGCCCATGGCCCCCAGCAGGGGCCTTTGCACCCCTGGGCTCCCCTAGTCAACTAGTGTAGAACATCGACCATGTTTAGAAAGCATATGATCCACACAATAGGAATCGATAAATTTAATGTTACTGTTACTGGGCATTTATAGTGCACCTTTCCTTTCGGTTGCAAAGAGCAAGCCAAGTGCCTTTCAAATTTCAAATCATCAAGAGCAACTGATCCACATCAGTTCCAGAAAAAAACTATCTCATACCACACAGAATATAGTATGGATAAACAACAACATATAAAGACAACAAAAGACACAGACAGAAACAGAGACAAGTGAATTAGGCAAAAAGATTGGTTTTAAGTGATCTTTTGAAAATATTATCATTAGAAATGTTCTTAAGATCCAGGAGGAAGATTATTCCATAGTTGGGCAGCATAACTGAATATAAAACTATGTGACCAATAATGCAAGTGTATTAAAGTATGACTGCTCATGCATTATTTATTTCAAGTAAATATATCATTTACTGATTTGTTTACGGTCACGTATATCCACTTCCTTAAATAAGGCCTAAGGAGTGAAAGTTGTAGATTTGCGTCCACCGCCCACATGCCTAAACAGCCACCGCACAAAGAATTTCATTATTTTGAAAAATTCAATTTTGCTCTGTGAAAGGACACAGAGCAAAGGTTGGGGGTTATTATTCGACATCCTAAGGAGTGAAAGTTGTAGATTTGCGTCCACCGCCCACATGCCTAAACAGCCACCGCACAAAGAATTTCATTATTTTGAAAAATTCAATTTTGCTCTGTGAAAGGACACAGAGCAAAGGTTGGGGGTTATTATTCGACATCCTAAGGAGTGAAAGTTGTAGATTTGCGTCCACCGCCCACATGCCTAAACAGCCACCGCACAAAGAATTTCATTATTTTGAAAAATTCAATTTTGCTCTGTGAAAGGACACAGAGCAAAGGTTGGGGGTTATTATTCGACATCCTATTGTTAATTACTATGAAATTATAGAGGGCGTTCAATTCCCATCGCTGCCTCTCCTTGTGTTTCAGCTGGAGGGCTGAAATACAAGTTACAATAGCGCACTGTCTTTCGGATGAGACGTTTAAGCCGTTGGTCCCGTGCATTATGGCCCATGTGCACGTTAAAGAACGCAGTACACTCTTCGGAAAAGAGTAGGGGATTGTCTCCCAGTGTACTGCCCAATCACCACCAGAAGGAGCCCACTGGAAATAAGTCTTCTTCTAGACTTTCATGGGCTATCCTTGGTGTTTATACCAAATAAATCCAATTCAAAGGCCTCTGAGGGGGTGTCGAAAACTAGCATAAAATTGGCAAAAGGATGATTACATTTTACAGGCAGGATGTAATTTAATTTTATGAATTTGTAGTTGGAAGGGATGAGTTACATATATATGCATAGACTGTAATTCTATTATCCAAAAGTCCAAAAAACTACCTTGTTTTTAGTCAGATGTCGAAAATTAGCGACTTACACTAGAATAGTTTACAATATTTCTAAAAAGGCCAAACTATAATAAATAACTTTTCTAAAATTACATATGATCCACTTAAATAACAGATGTGTCTTATTTATTGTACATTTATGATGACTGACTGTAGGAGGCCTACCTATGCTAGGCCTAGTAATAGTAGTAGTAGGCCTTATGCATTGTTTTTCTTTTGAGTAACGTAAAATTGCTGATGCCACGGCTTGTGTACAACATTTTAAAAAAAAATGAATAATGAATAATGAAAAAATGCCCCATGTGTTTAATATTTTTCAGACGCAAATCTAGTAGGCTAAGCTAAGCCTTAGTTTAGCCTAGGCTAGGCCCTAGGGCCTCTACAACTTTCATTCCTGCGGCCAATAATAAATAAAAAACAAGTTCTTTTTTAAGTAATCGAGTGACTTCTGAGTGAAACTAACTTCCAGAAGATGTACTCAATGTAGTGTGGCTTCCTGCAAAGAAAGATTGAGGGCACTGCTTGAAGCATAAGCATGCATGGGTTAGGCTGAAAAGCTGGCAGGGTGATTAGCCTAGCACCCTAGGCCCTACTAACCTAGGCTAGGGCTAGCCTCCGGGCCTAGCCTAGGCCTAGAGATAATAATTTAACGACTTCAAGTTTCATTACTTAACACTATTATTGTGATTTAAACTTACGTTGAGAAAAAGTTAGGTTCCCAAATAAGATTTCATTATTTCTGTCTTTCTCAAAATCAGCCATAGAAATCTCAAAACTACAGTTAACATTAGCTAGTTTAGCCACGCTGAAAGCCAAAGATAAAATTTGTTTGAATCGCACGCAGGATACACGCCGTTCAGCCCGCTTGAAAATGACGTTGGTGTCGAATTTTCGTCGTCTGATTTATTGCTCATTTTGAGGTCTAAATAATGTTGAGGGCGCTATGAAAAATTTGTATTTCCATAATTTTGGTAGAATTACACACATGGTTTGTGTTCCAATGCTGGTTAATGTATAATTTAACCAATATTCATTGTGATTCTTTTTTTTTTCATCCTAATTCTTTTGTTTTTTTTTCATCCTAATTCTTTTGTTTTTTTTTCAATTAAGTATAAAAAAAGCAATATAAAAATTCCCGTACAATAATAGATAGAAAGTAAGTAACGGAGAACAATCAATTCACTCCAGTGGAGGAGTAAACGGGTACTGTACTAGGTTTAAAACGCTAATCCAATGACAGTACTAATACGGGAAGTCCATTGAACTTGTTGAAATGTACTACAGGTATATAATAATAATAATTATTATTATTATTATTAATGATATATATTTCGAATCATCATACAAAGTATTGTAGGCATATTCTTCGAAACATTTACGACATAAACTACAATAAAAAAAAGAAAAAGAAACTACAATAAAAAAAAAAAAAAGAAACTACAATAAAAATAAAAAAAAGCTTTGCGACTGCGCATCTTAATTAAAAAAAACATTTAAAAATAATATATGAAAATAAAAAAGGTTTACAATGAACCAAACATAATTCATATTTCATATTGAAAAATCAAAAACATTAAATAGACAAGCTAAAAGTTATTATTTGTCAAAATTACTTGTTCTTTTTTGAATACAGATATTATTGTTATATATAATATTGTTATATAATTTTATTGTAATATTTTGATATTATGTTTTGTGTTTTTATGTTCAGGTGGATGAACTATATAGTATAGGTGTACTTTTACCTGATTTCTTCCACTTTCCTTATACTATTGTTTATTCTATGATGTTAGCTGAAGTTGAATAAAATAAAATAAACAGGCCGATTTGACTTGTGGCCGAGTTGAATGGGGCCGAGTTGAATGGGGCCGAGTTGACTTGGGACCGAGTTGACTGGGGCCGAGTTGACTTGGGCCGACCTGCTTTCGATTTTCCACACAAGCGTACCACCCAGGCTGAGCTATGCCTATGGCCTAGTTCAAGACGAACACAACACAACTTAGCTAGTGTAAAGCACAGAAAACGTATCAATTTCCATTTCCTTTAGTTCGCAGAAAAAGTATAAAAAGAAAAGTATGGCATAAGGCCCCATAAAAAAATATGTTATCACCCTATCAAAGAATAACAACTAATGAGGGAGGGAGGTTTGTTTTTTTTTCTTTTAATAACCCCACCCCCATTTTACCGATGTTCTCAAGTAAATCAATGGTTAGAGACACATATATAAACATTCATAAGAATGGAATCAAATTTATATTTAAAAAATATGTTTTTGTTGTACCAGTAAACATATTTGCAAGAAATCTTGAGCTTTCCAAGTAAAAAAAGATGGAAAAATGACCGTTTGAAATAAAAATATATGTTACTTGAAAAAAAAATATTAGAATTTCCCCATAAGTGATGAGGGAGGGGTAATAAAGTAATAACTTTTTTATGGGGCCTAACGCAGAAATCGATTCCTTTATTTTTAAAATATACGTTTTATGGAAATTAAAATGTCGCCCTCTCTCAATCGAAAACATTGCACCAACCAAAATTACACGTACTCGATCGGATCAAACAAACATCTGTGGTCGTAAAATCCTGTGATTTTCAGTGTTATAAGAGATGGTAAGATTCATAGGGACATTATCTCGCTTTAATTTATAATCACTCTTTCATTCAAATGTATCTAGGACCTAGGGAATGACTACAGACAGTAGTAGTTTAGTAGCCTAGCTAGCTAGGCCCTGGCGCTATTCTAGAAGGACAGGGCGTTGTGTATAACGAGGCTCGAGTGTACACGTCTTGGAAGCTCTCTTTAGCCTAGGTTAGACCTACACGTCTCTCGCTACAGGCCAAGACGACCCGAGACAAACTGATGTGGGCCAACAGACCATGACTGTAAATTGAGATTCTGAGAATTGTCACATTTTGTATGATTTTTGTATTTCTTTGATAACCTAGGCAAATTTAGATGATACGGAAGATGTTGCTCTGGATTTTGGAAGTGAAGATGAAGTGAGCAAGGCTGCTTGCAGGTATGCTTTGTAGAAAGAAGTACAACAGCTACCAACTCACAAATTTAAAAAAAATAATTATAAATTATCTATATATTATTTAAGAAAAATTGTATATTTACAAATAAGTTTATACATACAGAAGATACAGTTTAAAATGTTTTTTTTTTTAATGTAAAGATAAATAAAAATATGCTAGAAAAATTTACCAAAAGGTTTGTAAATATGGAACATAAGAATTAAGGAAATCAAGAAGCTCAGCTGTTGTGACCAGCCTGCATGTGCGACTACTCAAAAGAGGTTGTGTACTGTGAAAGAAGATGATAATAATGATGATCTACATTAAAAAAAATGTTCTAATGTCAATTGTTAAACTAAAAAAAAAAAAAATTAAAAGCACAAAGCATTACTCTTCTTGTTCCACATACAGTACCTTTACTCCAATTACACTTATTGTATAATTAATTAATTATATTAATTTCCAGGTCACCAATTACAGCATTCTTCCACCTCTTGTTTCGTGTCAGTGCTATGGTCACATACCTGATATGCACATTGTTCAGCAGCAGTTTTATAATCAATTTTGTTGTCATAGTCCTTCTTTTGTCAATGGATTTCTGGACAGTGAAGAACATCACAGGACGCATCTTGGTCGGACTTCGCTGGTGGAACTACATTGATGAGGACGGTAAAAGCCACTGGGTATTTGAATCACGGAAGGCAAGTCAAATTCACCTTTTTATTATTAGCATGAACTTGTTTATTGCATATATTAAACCTTTAATCCTAATTTATAGCAATGCAGCAGTCACTAACAACAGCATAGCAGTCACTAACAACATTATAGCAGTCACTAATGACAGTATAGCAATCACTAATGACACCATAGCAAACACTAATGAGAGCATAGCAGGCACTAATGCCAGCATGGCAGTCACTAATAGCTGCATAGCAGGCACTACAGCACCACTCAGTGATACAAAAATGGTAAAAAGATGATGTCACAATGAATTATAAGTACACTTAGTATAGAGCTTTTAGGGTTGTAAATAATCAGCTTCCTACCCCTAAAATGACTTGGTCATAAAACATCGTAGGCCCCAAATAGTCAGCTTTTAACATCCTCGTAAGGGGAATTTATAGAGTATCCATCAAGGTTAGTATCGCTGAGTGCTTCATCTTCATTTATGTGTAATTAACAACTGTAAGTAAAATACTGTATGTCAACCCTAACCCATGAATTTATTCATGTTGCAGGGCTCAAAGAAGAAACATGTTGAAACTGCTTCCGAGTCCAGAATCTTCTGGTTGGCATTAGTTGTGTGCCCTGTAATATGGGTATTTTTCCTCTTCACCTCATTGATAAAGTTCAAGATAGATTATACGGTGATTCATTAATAGTTTTTTATTTTTACTGTTTATTTTTATTTGTATTTCAGTTGCAGTATCCACTGCCAAGTATTAAACATAATGGGTGGTAACATTATAGCACCACAGTTAGGAAATAAGGGTAACCACTTTGTGTACGCTAAATAATTGAGATATTTGTGATCTTTTTTCTACTCTGCTGGCCATGTTTTACATTTAAACAAATTTTGAACTTCCAGTAGTCAAGATTGATATGTAAAATGGAGATTTCACTGGATCACTTAGTCACATAGCAAAGAGTATATAGAATTGCAAGATGCTGAGGTTTCCTGAAAACAGGTTTCTATATTGAAAAGTACTTTCACAAACTAGTGGGTGCCCTTTAACAGAACGTAAAAGGTGTTCTTATCGAACGCGGGCTGCATTTACAAAACATGTTCGACTTTTGAACTCTATTTAAATTCTAATAGGATGCCCCCAATCTTGTGGTAGTACTTCACTTTTTGTTTAATTGTTTGGATGCAAATTAACGATAGTCGGACCTCTCGCAATTCTATATTCTTTGATATGAGCCCTAGAGAAGCTTTCTGTCATCCTCAAATGAAATTCTTTTTTCTTTTTTTTTTTATAGCTGATTGTTCTTATTGGCATTTGCCTTCAGGGTGCTAACCTCTATGGCTATGTTCGCTGTAAAGTTGGCTCCAGGAAACAGCTGTCCGGCATTGCAACAACATTCTTAGGCCAACAGATCTTAAGATCCGTAAGTCATAATTAACTAAATCCACAAGACCTGTAATATGAGGCATGTCGTGGCGAAATGGTTAAGTTGTCGCACAGGCCAGTATTGAGTAAATGAGCTTTAAAATATGGGAGCTCAAAAAATTGCCAAAAAATCCAAATTTGTTTTTCACTACAAATCAACAATTTAATGTCTTGTTAATCATGTCCCAAAGTATTAGTTCTGAAAGTGGTCAACCAATCGTTTATTTAATGTTATTTTGATAGTTAATTCTATTAAACAGTGTATGCACAATTAACTTTGAAAGGCAATTACTCAAAATCATGTTTATCTTGACTCTAAGAGTGCTGTACTTTCATTTTCCAATAACTTAGGCTTCAAATGTCCAATTTCAATGAATGACCCCTCATTTTAAAGATTTTAATTTTTGCTACAACTTAGCCATTTTGCCACAACATGCCTCATATATTCAGCTGTGTCTTATAGTGTCTGACTTTGCAATACCCGATAGCCCCGAGTCTGGGGTGGTAGTACCTTATATTCCCCAGGTGCTGCCTGGGTCAACAGTTGAGTATCCGTTTTATGTTTTTATTTTCAAGTATGTTTGTGTATTCAATGTAACTGTACAATTGTATATGGTTTCAGCTGACAAGCAATCGCTTCTTTTGGAACCTATTGTTATGTTTTGTCAATAAAGAATTACGATATTGCGTCAACGTAAAAAAAAAACATGTATTCTAACGTCAAACCATGTTTGAAATTATATACATCTTCTTTATATCTTCAGACTTTATCTAAAACATCAACTTCTGAAACCAACTAAAGACATGCAAAACCCATCCACCAAAATTAGTCAACATCTAAAGCCGGCTGAGTACAGTATACACTATCAGATGTTTCTCAGATATATTTCAATAAACTCTGATCAAACTGATTATACCCTACTGAAGTCTGATCAATGTTGACGTCAATGCATACACTGCCGCTGAGAGAGGGGGAAAGCGAGGCCAGTACCCCGGGGCCCAGGACAAAACAATTTTTTTTCAATAATGTGTATTGGAAAAAATATATATTTTGAATGACAATCACGTTATGTCTCCCTTTACATAACAAACCTGCACCAGGTGCCTCCACCAACCTCCTATTTCCCCGCTCCAGGGACCCTGAATGTATAGGTAATGGCTCTGTCCTGTTTGTGGTTGTGAGAAGAACTTGGTGTTGGTGTGTACAACATGCTTGAGCATTATGACCTTTTTACCCTTCCCTGATATTAATTATATCCCTGTATTTGGTAATTAATATTAATGAAGGTCCAAAGATGAAGCACAGCATTCGGGACACTCAATACCTACAGAACAAGACAATAGTAAACAGAAAACCTATTAAGTTGATTGGCTTAGCTTGGGGTTAGCCTCAAATGCTTCTTACAACATGTGGAAAGTAGAAATATTGTTCCCTTAAAACTATTTTACTTTACTAGGTTATGTTTTGAAAAGTTCAAAATTTGAGGTTTATCAGCTTTTTTTTTTATGCTGTAAGCAACATTATATTTGACACTTCCAAGATTTTTAAAGAATGTTTATGGTGAAAGATATATTTTTGCAAAATAGAGATAAAGTGCAGTACCTTTTTTTGTGCAATTATATAGTATAGTTTACTCTGATGTCATCTTATTACACCCTGTGTCTTGTCTGCTTTCTTCTCCTGACCCCGTTGGTTAGTTGTAAGGTGATGTAATATATTTACTGTAATTTCTGGTGGTTCTTTTTGTTATGATTATATTTATTCATTCAATTTAATTCATCATTTGTAAGAATTTTAATATTTTACACTTTAAAAGTTTTGTATGTCTAATTAATTTACAGTATATTATTCAAATATTGAATTTACATTTAACTAACACCTCAAATAGAAGCCCTGGGCTTCTGTTTTTTTAGGACCCTTGGATGGGCTTCTTTTCAAAATGAATGCTGTAAATATTGTTATTGCTACTATATGCAAATTTTCAAGTATTGAATTTGAAATTCTATTTAATATTTTTTAAATTTTAAACATGCTAGTACAATAAAATAACATTGATACTGACACGCTATCATAATAATCAAATATAACGTCAGTCTGAATTTAAAGACCATGGGCTTCTTTTCAAGATTACTTTTGCAAACTGAAGAGTGGGGCTACTTTTTGAGATGGGCTTCTCAAGATTAAGCCCATGGGGCTTCTATTTAAGGTTTTACAGTACCTCTTCATGTCAAATTTGTGTTTAAATTTACGATATGGGTGCATTATGGGTTCCATTGGATGCATCCAGTACATTTGATAGGGAATGTGATGTAATTGCAAGTAATTGTTAGTAAAAGACAATATTTCTTAATTTTTATCTGCTAATTATTTTTCACATTGGTTGAATATGATGTAAATACAATGTATAATACATTATACCATTAAAGTATCTGATAACTTAACATTCATATGCATTTTATTTTCTTTGTGGAAAGGTGGGATAATGGATAGGCATATTGCTAACTATTGAATTAATGTTCAAGAACACAAATGTACAACATAACTACATAAACTACATAATAAAATACATATCTTTCAATTTAATAACTAAGGTGTGACAATATATTATTTCTGCATCACTAGAAATTACCTTTCTCCGCCCAGCATAATCTATTATTTACCTTTGCAGGTAGTGACATATGGAGGTGCAAATGGGGGAGGTGGTGCTAGCTAGCAAAATAAGGTGCCACCCCCTAGATACACCACTGTTTACTGGATATTTTCATGTAACTCCACTTCCTCTCTTTAAAAGTGCCTTCTCCAAACTCACTGAATATTATACAGTATGTAATAGAAAAAGGCTGATATTAATTGGTACTATGATGTAAAGCATAGACAGACAGTAAGCATGCCCTACCAACTGAAATGTAGGACTCGGTGCCAGTATATTCATCCATTCACTGTATATTATAATTATGCATTATCCTCTTAAAAGAATTTGCCAAAGTGATGAGCGACTATCAACATAGACCTGATAATTTGTGCCTCTTTCTACTCGTTTCACACAAGTTGTCATGTCTTCCCCTTTGTTTCTTTATTTTACAAATTGAGTATGTTTACTTTAATATAAGGGGATATGGGAGAGCCACTATACTGTATGTTTGGATACTGCACTGGACCTCAATCTTGAGTAAAGTATGCAGGCACAGATGGTATTGTGAATACCGCCTCCAGACCACACCAAACACCAGAGAGCCAGCAGCCACAATTAAAGTTATTGAATAAAATAGAAACTTTAAAATGTCAGCAGTTTGGGTGTCATGTTTGCATGGGTTCCTCCTCTTTTCCTCTGCAAAAGTTTTCAATTTCTAGAAAAACAAAAACAGTAGAATTTTAGCTTTCTTACATTAGAAACTGAAAGGGTGTGGCACATGTAGATAGTGAGAGCAGCTTGGTCCCCGGTTAATTCCCATCGCTGCCTCTTCTTGTGTTTCAGCTGGAAGTTTTTCGGATGAAACGTTTAAGCCGTCGGTCCCGTGTGCATTTAGAGCCCATGTGCATGTTAAAGAACGCAGTACACTCTTCAGAAGAGAGAAGGGATTGCCTCACCACCAGAAGGACCCCACTGGAAATAAGTCTTCTTCTAGACTTCTGTGGGCTATCCTTGGTGTTTACACCGAATATATCCAAATCCATGGCCCTCCAAATGGACAAAAATCCATATCTTTTCTGTTAATGGATATTAAGAGAAATCATAAAGGTATGTAGCAATTTTCAAAATTGAAAAAGTGACTTGGTGTCAACATTTTAAATAGTCATTACTTTAAAAAAATTTGGAAATTGATGCTAAAATTCTAGAAAATTCTTTTTGAATGTCCAGTGACGATGCCAGCTGGGGTTGGGTGTAATCTGCTTCCGCCAGACAAGCATGGACGTCTTTTGACGCCACAGTGAACTAAATATATTAATTTGCTGATCTAAAGTCATCATGATTTTAGTATATAATATTTTGGGCCATTCCAATCCATAAATTCCGGGACCCAATTTGCAGTAAGTATTTGGACTGTAGAGATAAGTACTTACTCTGTATAATCTGTCTGTAGGCCTCGGTAGCTGGAGAGTCTGGCACTTCTGTTAGGAATGACTTTCCTTCATCACAACACTGACCTATAAAAGAAGGCATGTCGGATACCAATACAGTATTTCAAAGATCCTTTTTATAATATATACAAATGATATACACAGTAAGTAAGAAGACATTATATAGGACAACATAGTTATAGATTAACAGGAAATACATGAAAGGGATTGCAGATTTCTAAGTTGTAAGCTTAGGAACCAAAAGGTAACATTGTTTAATAACATTTATAAGGCGCCAATAACGTACAATGGCAAACCAGCACAAAGGGCAACATTCTCTGCTCCCTGAGGAGTATCCCTAGTCGTTCACTACTTCTTTAGCGCACAAAACTAGAACATTGAATGCCACAACATCCTACCAGGTACCCATTTATACTCCTGGGTAGAGAGAGACAAACGTAGATTAAGTGACTTGCCCAAGGACACAAGCGACTTGCACAGGGAGAGTTTCAAACCCCTGACCCCAAGGTTGGGAGTCCAAGCCACAATTGATGTACCAACCGCTTCTACGTTTATTAATCAACCTACCAATTCGGGGATCCAATGGCAGCTTCCCAAGAAATGGAATCTTCATGTCGTCGGCCATCTTCTCACCTCCACCAGTTGTTGGTGGAAAGATTTCAGATTGATTCTAAACATTGAAATAAAAATTTAATATTATATAAAATTTAGACACAAATCTTATGTAGGCCTTATTGTAGTTAAGCTTAAAATTACCCCTTGTATATATTTATTGTTGTATTGTATTAATTGTTATTGTGTGTTTGTCGTATAAATTAAGAGCTCTTGGTGGCTGACCAAGCAATGAACTTACTGTATATTATGAACTCATATTTTTTGTTACATTTGATTATCATTTCGATTTTCTATTTCATTTTCTTTAAGTTCTTTGAGAGGATTTTAAATTGTGTAAGTCAATTTCCATTTTCATTATTAACTTTGTTACCTACTTTGCATTTTGGGCAGATGAATCCACTCATGTTTTCAACAACACCAATGATTGGTAAGTTGACTTTGCGGCAGAAATTGACTTCTTTACGAACATCCATCAGCGACACTTCCTGCAATGAAAATTAAACATAATAATTTATTTAAAAAAATAAGCGCCACTTTAGAACATGCTGAAGTTGTAATTAGAAACTCTGCTTATTTATGTATTTATTTATTGGTTTATTCCTTTATAACAGAGGAACACTCCCATAAGGAGAGGTTTGACCCATACAGAACTAAAAAAAATACAGATACATAATAGTTACAATTATAAAAATATAAAACATATTATCCACTGAAAATATCATTGTACTTAAGAAATAATGAATATCAAACAAAATATCAAAATAATTATTGGTGAATATTCAGATATGTGTAGCACATGTTGTGTTGCACTGCAATAAATTGTCCTTACCTGAGGAGTTGTAATCAAAACAGCGCCATCAACGCCAGCTCCACTAAGGTACTGCACAATGGATAGATGTTCATCTGAAGTGCCAGGCGGGGTGTCCACTACAAGAAAGTCTAAGTCACCCCAGTCTACGTCACGAAGGAACTGCTTGATGAGGCCTGCAAATCAACCAATCAAATTATATACTCTATGAATATTCATGAATTATATCAATACTCTATGAATATTCATTAATTATATCAATACTCTATGAATATTCATTAATTATATATTTATGATTATTTATTTACTGTAATCTTTATAGAGAGCAGCTTAGCTCAGTCGGCTAAACTGGTTGTAGGCACTGTGTGTGCGCTGAACCGTGGAGATCTCTAGGTCCTCGGTTCAATTCTCATCGCTGCCCCTCTTTGTGTTTCAGCTGGAGGTCTGAATTACAAGTTACAATAGCACACTGTCTTTCGGATGAGACATTTAAGACGTTGGTTCCATGTGCATTATGGCCCATGTTAAAGAACGCAGTACACTATTCGGAAAAGAGTAGGGGATTGCCCAGTGTACTGCCCAATCACCACAAGAAGGACCCCACTTAAAATAAGTTTTCTTCAGACTTTCGTGGGTTATCCTTTGTGTATGAATCCATTAAACTATTATGAGCAAGCAAATCTCTGTAAACTTCAGACTTCAAAAAATGCTGATCAAAAGAAAAAGGACAAGTAAAAGTAAGCCAGTCTTCTAAAAATCTAATGTATGATGTAGAAATTAAAGAATGGCTGTAAACTCCTCAGAAAAAAAAAGAAGGGAATTGTCTGTCAGTGTACTGCCCTATTTAGCGCCAGAGGGACCCATCTAGGAACAGGTCTTACAACATACTGAGCAATTTATTAAAACACAAAGCATTCTGGATTGAACTTGAGATAGTGGATTGGAAAGACAAATTTGAACAAAAAATTGCTACCATTTTTCTTTGGTCCTCTCCATATTACAGCATCATCAGGATTACTCAACAGAAAACCAACAGACATTACTCCAAGATTATCTTCAACATACTACAAGACAAAAACCAATTATCAAAATAGTAATGGTGTTAATTCTCCTGTTTCAGTACTAAAAGATACTGTATGCTTTGTCAGGGTTGTGCAAAGAATCTGACAACATTTAGATATAAAAGAGATTTTAAAAACCCAAGTAAACTTACAATAGGGGACCAGCCAGAGCCACTCTGGTGGACTTGTTCCCCTTCAACTCCCATGATGCGGGGAATAGATGGACCACAGATGTCAACATCAAGAATACCAACCTAGAAATAAAAACAAATCTTGCTTTAATAATTTGAAGGGAAACATTATCTTCATAATCATTACTATTATAACAACAAGTGCTCCTGGACATTCAAAGGAGCAAATAGGTGGGGAGATCAGGCTTTTAACACTGCTGGACAAAGTCTCTGGAATAAACTTCCTCTGAACATTAAATAATCACCGTTACCCTAACCCTAACCACTAAATAATCACCTTCCTTGAGAGTTTTAAGTCACTATTCAAGTACTCTTTTTTTATCTAACAGTACCACGAGTAATGACTGTTGGAATGGCACCGTAAAATGGAACGATTGATTGATTGATTGATTGATTATACTGTACTACACAAAACAAATAAACATGTTTTAATAATAAGCATTGTATATAGGTGGAGCCTAATTAAATGTATTGTGGAATACTTATAAATTTATTTATATTCAATCACCTTTATTGCGAGGATATTCCATTACAATCTAAAATGTTTTCTTTAAATCGAAGTTCTTTCATTCACTCTAGGCTAGTAAATACTGTATCTTATTCAGAATTGAATTGTCACATAAACCTATGTTGCTGACCTGCGTGTGTTCCTTGCTTGACATACCGTGGGCCAGGTGGGCTGTAAAAGTACTCTTACCAACCCCACCTTTACCTGATAATACCAAGATCTTGTGTTTCACTGATGACATGCGTTCTTTGACCTCCTCAACAGCTAAAATGTATACAAAAAATCAACATTAGCTTCTACTATTACAACATTATGTTACTGGGATAAGAAAGAAGAGAGTAGTAGAGAAATTTTTGTTTACATATAACACATTTAAATGTCTCAGAATACCTTAAAAGACCAAAAAGTATGCAGTTTCTTTAAGCTTAGCCCCCTGGACCCACCTAGGCTATGCCTCTGGACTTAGTCAAACATTAATGTCAGGCCCTCCTTGTGACCCCTTAGCCCTCCACACCACAATCTAAACAGTCTCAAGGTGCTTAAAAAAATTTAAAACCACAGCAAGAGAAAGGGTTTGGTTTCTCAACCTCGAGGTCGGAGTTTTAATCCCTCACTGTGCATTTTGCTTGTGTGTCCTTGAGCAAGGCACACTGTATCTGCATTACTTTCCTCCACCCAGGCACTATATAAATGCCAAGTAACACATGACACATAAAACAATATTTTGTTAATTGTCAATAAAAGTTACTAAGTAATAATAAACATTTTACTACATATGAAAATGATTATTAGTGACAAATATAGTTAATAAAAGATTGTTTGAGAATGTTAGACTAACCTACCTGGGTCTGGTGACTTTGGAAGACCACTTGCACACACATTCTGGTTGGGACATCCTTCACATGCAGAGACTTTGCCAGCCTCTTCACTTTTCACCCCCGGACAATCTAAATAAAAACATTCCGTTTTACAAGATGATTATGAAAACATTATTCGTATTAACACATTGGCTGCCAGCGACGAGTATACTCGCTCACAGGGTGTTGCTGAGGGCGCCAGGAACGAGTATACTCGTCAAATCGGGGGAAACATTCTAGCGTTTATAACTTCTTTATTATACATTGTAGAACCACAGACTCAACGGCTGGTAGTTCGGGGAAGATACACCTAGACGATAATGTACAAATGACATATGCATATCTGTTGTGTTATGTTGCCGGTAGTACACTCGAGCGGTACAAGTGGGGGCGCCCTTTGAACATATACCAACCCATGCAAAAAGCGGACGAGATAACTCGCACTTGGCATAGTCAGTAAAAAGTTCTATCACAGTGCCATCGACAAGTATACTCGCCCCATAATATTTTCCCGCCAATTTATTAGACACTTCATTTTGATGACAAATGACTAGATAATATTTCAAAAAAGTATGTTTGTACATGTAAACTTGTTTTGGCACACGGGAAGGAACATTAAAAAAAGGTCTGGCAGTCAACGTGTTACTACTATACTACTGGTCATCATCAGGACAGGAAGAGATGAGGCCGAGACTTACACTAGGCCAAGCTAGCCGTGTAGCTTAGGCTTAGAGTCTAGGCCTAGGGGGCCTAGGCCCCCTACCTAGAGAGTAGACCGCGGCCTACATATACGTCATAGGCTAAGGCCTCCCTAGCCTTGGCCAATGGGAAAAATAATACCTAATATTTTATACTATCAAGAAACTATGCCTATTTCAGTATCCATATAATAAAATAAAAACTATATTATTAAAAATATACAGTAAAACATACGTTCCGGTGCATTATCTGGAACGTCACCTTGGTTAGTGTGGGCTGCCATTTTTATTCTAATCACAACAATGAAAAATGATTCGTAAACATCGATGCTGCACGTGGAGCTACATCGTGTCGTAACCTGTGGGGAGAAATTACAGCCTACAAATGTCACTCTTCTCATAAATGCGTATTGTCGGCGAAATCATTTTTTTATTCAACGTTTTTCGCGATAGGACCTTACTAAGTACAGAATTAATGCATAATAAATATTACAGTATCAAAAATACAAAATAAACAGTACTTCCTCAGCGATGTGTTTGATGTGATTTTTAAAATGTTTTTATGTGGTTTTTATTTAATTGTAATTTTACCCTTTTTAATGTCATTTTGAGGTGGAAAATGATATATTTGTTATGTATCTGCTAATAAATGCAAACAAATTGTTAATGAAAATATGTCAATTTAAATGAATGAATAAATAACTACTTTTAAATTTATCGTATTTAAAAAATAGGCCTCTTGGAATAACTTCAATTATTTTGGACGTGACGTTAATTTAAATTATACAGTAAATAATCATTAAAAATCAGAATCATATTGATTGTATTTCAATTTAATTTGTAAATGAATTTGAATTAATAATATTTCTTATTTATTTTTTCCTTATAATTTATATATTCTTATTGCCTAAACTTTGTCTTTTTTCAGTTTATGCATTTGACTTTTTTTTTTACTATATTGTATAATTCAATATTTTGATTATTGCAATAAAGGTATTTTGAATTCAATTGAATTGAAAAAGAAGAAAATAAATAAATAAATAAATATAAATTAGGCGAATGCATTGGTACAAACAATATGCAGCGAGTTACAGCACCTGATGAAGTCCGTATCAAATAAGTTTAATACAACTTATTGAGCGTTTAGTGTATGACCCGACGACATTCTTCATACGGAGCCATAGTATTACCACAATGTTTTCTCAGATGGACTATAAAAACCGGGCCCAGTGTACACAATTTGGCTCGTGCACATCTTTTATGGCGAGTAGGGGGTCACACTGCGGTGTACTGGCGGACAGCCCATGTTGTGGACAGCCCAAGCAAGACTCGACCATAGGCCTACCTGTCAACTTGAGAAATGTCAAAGAGTAGGCTAAGATCGGGTGACACATAATGAGTGCCGAAGGCACGAACAGTGGCTGGGGGAAAGAAGGCCGCCAAGGGCTCCCGGTCGGGGTCCAGAGGCCGAAGGCCCACCGACGCTTAAATAGCATATCTAATCGATATTAGTGAGTTTATAATGATCTCAGATGCAGTAGTTATTGAAATCATGGAGGTAGAATGCTATGACGATAGATGTTAGTTATAGTAAAATTCGTTAATCAAATTAAAAAAGAAACAAAATTTACTCAAATTTTAGGATAAGCGTAAGTTTTGCCGGTGTTTGCTTAAGAACCGTAAGATTTGATTGCGAAATATAATGCGTACGGGTTGACAACTGAGAGACCAATGCCGTTGCCAGCTATTGGGACAGTTCCATTTTTTTTTATTGTGTCCACAAGAATGAGTCCATATTTTAAAAATAATCGGTCTAAACTATAATAATAATAATAATATGTCCCTCTTATATAGCGCTTCATGCACAATGCCTCTAAGCGCTTCACATTACTACCCCGGTCATTGGATCAAACACATAATAGAAGTGGAAGACCATAATGTATTGGAAATGTACCTCTCTCTCTCTCTCTGGTAGGGCCTGTACAATCAGTTTAAAAGTGTAAGGTATAAGATAGTGTGGATTTAAACATTTTCCTAATGGTATAATGTTCAAAATAAGTGTCAAGGAAAGTAAGTATGATTGTTGGAAAAATTGGTCAACAATTTATTTTGAATTCTCACAATGACTTTCGCCTGGGCGAAGGTGGATCCGCGTCTAGATAGCATGAATTTTGTAAGCCAGACCCATAGTATTTTGTTACGTTTCTTCACCCCCTGAACCCTCCCCCTGGATCCGCCACTGAAACCTACATGGTGAGATCAGGGGCGGATTTAGGGGGGGGGGGGGCGGCCCGGCCCCGGCCCCCCCTTTTGGGAGGTAAATAAAGAAAAAAAAAGAAAAAAAAGAGAGAAAAAGAAAAAAATGATGGCCAAGAATGCCTCAAATGTTATGTTCGGGTGTCTAGAACACAAAAATTTCGCGGGGGCGTGCCCCCGGACCCCCCAGAACATTGTTGTCTCGATCGGCCCACCCCTACGACAGTGTTGTCTCAATCGGCCCAACTTTCGGCCCCCCTTCCGGCCCCCCCTTTTGGACATTTCTGGATCCGCCCCTGGAGATCCCGTACAGTATGAGTGCGCGCAATGGGATGTGTGCGCGCCCAATGAGTGCGCACCTAGTTAATGTATTGTTCACGGAGGGTGTATGTGCCCCCGAGGAGTGCAGCAAGCAATAGTCTAATTGCCACGATCGAAAAAACATGTTACGAATTACGACAAATTTACTTTGGTGGTGAGAGCATAGTAATTGGATATTATCGAATCAAATACGACTCAGCTCTACGTTTACAATTGAAAAGCAAGTACAATATAAGTCTCAATAAAGTACAATTTTTGTTTTGGGCTATTGAAGAGCTTTAATAAGCGACCCGATGACCTAGTCCTACTTCGTTTAATATGGTGAGAATCCGGCTAATTTATACGTGTTCGATCGAATCCGCTTTTGTGGGTGGTGGCTACTGGAGTGGAGAGTGGGCAGTGGTTACCAACAATATGTTATCAATGTAACGTCCGATGTCACTGCGATATATTAACAAAAAGTACCCCTTCACATACAAACAAATTGCTTAACAAAAAATATGTGAAATTTAAAACGGTGTGTACAATTTTCCTGACGGGAGCATACAAGATTGTGGGCGGGGCCAGGTGCCGGAAAGACTTTTTGTTAAATGAAATGAATATATACATACAT